ATATATATTTATTTATTTTTATAAACAAGAACAAAAATTTTCTTAAATTTTGAAATTGATATACAATTATCTAGATCATTTATATTTTGATAATTATAATAATTTTAAGAAGGCAGACCTTCAAATTTAGCCATCAAGTTACTTGATAGATCAGTCATTTTAAAGTATAGAGCTTATTGTCCATTTACTATTGAAGAAAGTTATATTGAAAAAAAAATGGGAGGAGGAAAATGAAGATAAAGCAAGTAGAATGTCTCCAGGCAAAGACAGCTTTCAATGATATGGAAATGACTTATTTAAGAAGTTCCGATCTCTAATTTGCGGTGGCAAAGAGTTTTTATATTGCATTACCATATTAAGTTTATAAACAGGTAGGTTAAATATTATTTTCATTTTTTAAATATGCTAAAACAAGAATAAGTATTATGCATTCCAGTACATTTAATAGATATAAGTAATTTAAATAATATATGTGTGACTAAATGCATTGCTTAGTTCTAAGTCAAATTCTCTTGGTGGAACTTTTAAGTATAGATGTCAAGCATTTAATTAACTGACAAATAGCGTGCTGTAAAATATATGAAATTATGTAACTCTATAAAAATTCCTTATTGATGAACAGATTAGAATTGATACAGAATTTGTTTTTTTCCCTCAAGAATTTTTGTTTCAAATTTTAATTTTTTATTGAATAAATATGCCTCAAAGCTAGATTTACATGAAATATTTTATCTTTGTTTCATATATGCAAGAAAACTTATTTATAAGAGCTCCTTAACTGGAGCATTATAAATTTTAAATATTAAAGTCATTTTTCATGAATAGACTCTAATGGCAGACCTATTTCAAATAGCTAATTTACTTGATTGCGGTAATGCATAATTATCTTCATGTTTTTAACAGATAGGATAGTAATGGAGTGAGTACTGGGAGTCGATAATGAATGACAGTCATTAAGAATTAAATTTAACTTCAAAACGGCTTAGTAAGAGGCAAGTTTAAAAAAAATAAAAGTGTAATATTTCAATCTAATAGCAAATTTAGAAGAGTGATGAGGAGGTTAATTTTTTTTTCTTGCGGCAAGTTAAACGTGCAAAAAATGCATTAAATAAATCTCGACGGATATTAAACTCTTACGTTTGTCAGAGAATCACGTAACGATTTCACTTAACGCACCGTTAATTTTACCTTCACTTCGTTTAGATATCGAACGCATCCATTTTTGAAGAGATATGATTAAACCATCAATTAAAGAGGCAGAGAATGTTTGTTTTAGAGGCCCGGTGATTAGAACTTAACCTGGACCGGGACTACATGATGTGTCCACACTGTCCCACAGATAAGGGGGCGGGTCCATAGATCGCCAGACCTCCCAGGGCGAGACCCTCCCCGACATGAAAAAGGCCGCTTTGGCCTTGATACACGAATGCCCCCGAGCTACATCGGGATTGCTAATCTTTCCATCCTCTCTCTCTCTCTCTATACAGCACACCCTGACTTTTTCTAACTATGAAATTCTGTATCAAATTATTTCGACGAAATGTAAGTTGGTATGTGGTCCTCTGAAGCTTAACTGGTTGATGGCAGAGGGAATTCTAAGATGTTACCGTAATAGTAGGTCTACATTTTTTTCACATTGCTTTAGTTGGTCTTTTCTCTTCTGAAACGTGACGTTTGACCAGTGGCAAAGCTTACTTACTACGACTATTATTCCCTCTTTGGCTTTATCTATTTTCATTCATCGATTAACCGAAATAATTTTCTTTCTCCACAGAAATCATTAGAATTGTCTCATGCACGACAAGATGCCAAGAGTTACTTGATATTTTATCTTCGGAGCAAAATTCTCATTTTTAACTTACTCAACTAACTTGAAGGTTCGAATAATTGAAACGTTACAGCAAACTATATAACATTTTAGTGGCAAAAAAGAAACGAATTGAAAAGAATTGCAGCTCGAAACTTGATCTTAAAGAATCTAGTTTCCCTGTAGCAATCTTGAATGATATAACATTTATACAAAGTCCCTAATATTCTGGCCTCACGCCGTTAGACATTTGCTACAGTCCTGCCCGGAGCGTTACGGTGTTTCTAATCTGTATTTCTTCACTTAAGAGGTCTAGACCAATTATCAAACCGCACATAAATAAAGTGGCGTATGCTTATGAATGAAAATGTTTTACTCACGGTATTGTAACTGGAAATTCCGGTCCGAGTAGTTTAGCTCCTTCCCAAAAACAGTCGAGGGGTGTAATAATCGCACAAGGAAACAAGTTCTCTAAAATCTAAAAATATTCCACAGATAGCATCAATAATACATAATTAAAAGAAAGCAATAAAAAATAAAATAATGATTTATATAAATTGATAAACAAAATTACCGAGTCTATATAATGTGCGTCAAAACTTGGTACACTCGGGGAATAACATAAATCTTTTAATCTCCAAGTCCTTTAAAAAGGATACATTTTTTTTTTTATTAAATATTCTTTTCGTTTCAAATTGTATTGCTTACTTATTACACTTACACATCAAACATGTCAACCACGACTTGAGTCGCTTCTTTTACCGTCCGAAGATGGGTAAGCAAGGTTTCTTGATTTAAAACATTGACTCCCTGATAACGGGGAGTTTGTATTATTATCTGGTTTGTACTACCGAAACCTTGACCTACCGTGTTTCTAATGTAAGCCAATTCTCTCTCTAATCGGCCTCCTTCTGCAAAAAATATATATAATTATTTAATGAATAATAGAATAATCTAAGATCTTAGTATATTAAAATAACCCTGAATTAGCGGATAAAACTTTATAAAATTGACATATTAATAAAAATATCCTAATTTATAATGAAGCAAGTAACTAATTATGTTATTAATTAATAATAAAAGTTAATTAAGCAAATAAAATTCAAAATGTTCCGAGACATTAAGCATGTTTAATTGCAATAGAAATCAGATTTAAATTTATAATGTCATTAAATTTACATTAGCATTGTTATTTTTTAATTGAATTTATATGTTATTTTACAACTTGCCTACAGCTTATCATAAATCTACAAATCTAATTATCATATAAATCATCACACTTACACGGTGATTGACTTAAAGTTGATAATTGAGATTTTACTAGCTTGCTTTATATAATCAGCAATGTTTATAGCAAAGGAATTATCATTTGCTGTAAATATTGCTGAATATGTAGCTAGAGATACAATAACAGATACATTAATTATATATAATCTCTACATTGTAAATCAACGTTTTTTTTAAATTAAGTCAAATTTTAGTATATATATATATATTTTACATTATCAACAGAGCCTGATTTAGACTTACTGTAGCTCTAAGCTATGACATGAGGCCCTTCTCCTCCTCCTCCAAATAATAAATTTAAAAGTGTAAGGCCTTAGCTGTAGCCTAGTGATATTTACATTTTTATTATAGTAAATCGGCTTAAAGAATTAAAATTTTCATAATTATTAACCGAAAATAATACAGATTTTCAAAGATAGAGTTTAGTAAACTCGGATGAAAATAAAAACCAGTAAAATTAGAATAGAAACGGCACTTAAGGAGCATTAATATTTATCAAAGCTACACACAAGATTCTAAAAAAAGACGGAAAATTCAGAAACAGCGATCATTTTACTCGAACCCACTAAACAGTGCTACTACGCTTCTCTATTAAAATTTATTATCGCTGAGTGTCGCGTGTCGCCTGTCAACTTGCATCCTTTAAAAACTTTCAGGATTCGCTTACAAATAACCTCTCCTTATTACCGGATTTAAGAATGTTTAGCGACAGACAGCACGTGTTATCAATTTACTCATAAAAACCGCAATCACGTGACGCACCATAAATATCCTCGGTTAAAAAGTAAACGAAGCTGAGTATCCGGGCGAATCCTTTCTCCCGTGTACGGTACTTCTACCAATTTACGTCCTAAGAAAAGTAAAGACAGAGCGAATTAGTCGTAGATAGTAGGTAGAGTTGGTGTGACAGATAACGAAGACCACACACGATGGGCATGTCAAGGTCGCGCATTATCCACTAGATCTGTGGACAACGGTCTTATGCAGGGGTGCGGGAGTTTTTTTTCCCTCTGTTGTGGTTAACTTCCTTTCTGTTCGACATTCTGGCGTCAAGTAGTGTGTATCTTCGGAGAACAACAAAATTGGAGGAGAATTCACAGAAAATAGAAGTCGTAGTACTAGTGTCAAAATATATTAATAAAGGGCTTCAAAAAAACAGAAATATATATAGATAAAGTAATTGTATTTAACCCCGAATCGCCTTAATTTTTTTTCTGTTAGATTCCTTTTTCTTAAACCTGTCTAAATGCTTTTATTATCATCTATTTTAGTAGAAAATTAAAGAGTAACTGTGTAAAAGCAAAGAATGTAGCAGATTCCAACGCGACCGCTTCTCGTGTAGTCAGATGGGGTAGGTCTAATCACGTGACAGTGGGGGAGAGATCCCAGGAAATAGAGATGTCAGACACACCTCCACCATGCCATCGATAGCTCAGGCCACACCTGTGCTTTCTACAGCAGCTGCTAGAGGAAACGAACTGCCCTTTTTTAAATTAGAACCTCTTTCCCCAGTTTTCAGTTTCCTTGACCTTCTTTCACGGTTTCTTCCTTGTTTTTAATGCTTATAAATATAGAAGACAAACTAATTAACACTTTTAAGGAAATTCGGCGATTGATTAATATGTACATAGGATGTATACGTATAAATCTGACATTTTTTATAGTAGAAATTGAAAAAAATGCAGAGAATAAAACTGGTCAAAAGATAGCCAGAAGGTAATCCGGATTGACTTCGTTCTTTTCAACATGACCAAAGAAAATTTCCAGATGAGAAGATTTACTGCTTCGCCTCTTATCTCTTCTTGACGCAATATATCCTGCATGTCGCTCTGAAGAAATAAATGGCGAAGAACGATTACCACTCGGAATATATTGCTTCCACATTCCAATTAATTTCGAAACTATCGCCGCTTAAGAGATATGATGCAATTTTACTTTAGGCAGATTCATTCCATTACATCTTTCATTTTATATTGCTCATCTTTAATTGCTTTACATTAAAATTCCTTTCGAAGAAGAACCATTCTTCCGTGGAATTAATGTTCTTTAAACTGACACCGGAAACAATTAGCGGAAAGGACTCTTCCCGTTTGTAACTTTACAAAAACACGATGGAAGATCTGTACTTCATCAACCGTGTGGGTTTTCTAGAATCTCCATTTCGTTCGCCTCTTTTAATAGTCCCAAACAAAAGGTCTCCCCCCTCGTTTCCTTGGATATTACTAGAATTCCTTAATTCACTTAGACGAGATGTCAAATGCTTAAATCGGAGTCTTGGCGAAATAAAAAACACATGACCATTTGTACCGCACCCATATAGAAATTAAGACGTGATAATTTCCTCTAATAGCTCTTTCCCTTTCCCCTCAAGAATAAAAGGTGTGTGTTTGCATTATTACAGAAACGTTGACTTACCTTCTACCCACAATTTCTCGACATTAGACTGCAAAGTGGCAGATTTAAGTCCGACACAAAAAGTAGAAAGCACAAGAAGTCCAACAAAAACTACTTTTCCCGCATTCCTCTGAATGAAGCATCCTAATTGGAATAGATAGCACTGCAACTTTGCCCTCAGCCACAGTGCAGCTCTGTTTCCAGTCGCTTTTCCCTAAAATAAAAAAAAAGCACTTATTATTTTTTCATTTGGATATATTTTTATTCTAATTCAACCATATTCATTAGTAATAGGAAAAGCATTGTTAAAATATATCCATAAATTTATCAAAGGTTTCGTAAAAAATTTAAATAAAAAGTATAATGGCTGTGAAAATTTCATGTTTAAAAGCTTCAAAAAATTTTATTCACTCTAACTGAATAAGATTTCGTATTAAGTAACGTTAAGGTATACACGCTCCCTTTGCTCCATCAAATATTTGTTTTGTCTCCTTATCAATTCATATTATTACAATTATTGGCAGGAGAAGCACGTTACTGGTTTGAATAGTAATTGAATAGAAGGCATCAATCAAGAGGGATAAAGAAGTGACAAGCCAAAAAAGAGGAGGAAAAAAGGCAAGATTGGCCCATTTGCCGGTTGCAATTCGAAACACGAGCACGAAGAAACTCCAACACACCACCTGCCGTTGAGAAATTTACAGCTAGAGGGCCCACGATGTGTGGCCATTTCCTAGAAGGGATACGCTCGACCGGTAGGCCGTATCCGAGGGAGCATCCGGAAACTGTTAAACACGGCCGAGATCGAAGTGGATTTCAATGATTTAACTTAACTTCTGGTTTGGTGTGATAAGTACCGGTTTCGTATCCTTCTATTGGAATGATGGACGAAACGGCGTGACCATTTTATAAAGAGATAGGCTTATTACCACCGGAAACCTGTTTGATGAACAAAAGTTTCAAATCACTTCCTGATCTTTAGCGCATCTCATTAAAAGAGAAACCAAAAACCAGTTACATTCTCTTAACTACCTTGCTCGAATTTCTTTATCTTTATTTTTTCTTCTCCCCTTTTCTTAAAATTCACGGTTAAGTTAACAGAACTTTAACCTCGATTTTACTTTTTTTTCCGTTGAACGGAATTTAATTTAATCTTTAAACTGTGCGTCTGTATATATACATACACGAGCGCAGCCTCTTAATAGTACATTTTAATCTTTGAGGATTATATCCTGTTATGAAAGGGAAGGCACTCACCTTATTAATCTGTGCTAAAGCCGTTGCAGCATCCGTCCAACTAGTCCTGGTGACGAGATCCACGTGCAGTCTTTCCTTCTTGATATAAAAAGGAGTAACACCGTTACTGTTACCAGTTGAAATCATTTTAATCCCATAGTAGTACGAGAGCAGAGACACGCTGCCGTATGCAGTATCCTGGGAACATTCATTGTGTGTGTATGTGTATGTTTATGTGCGTATGCGTGTCCGTGTGTGTCTATGTGTGTGTGTGTGGGCCACCCACTTTCAGGACCAACTGTAGAAGCGCAGGGGGGATGTATTTGCATTCGGTGCTCCTCCCATCCACGTGATTGATGTGATGTTCCCATTGGACGATTCTCTCACACGTTCCGAAGCCGGCGGGCCGTACATTAGTTGCTAGGCAACGGATCACCGACGTCGTCCGGACCACACACGTTGCCTAGCCACCAAAGAGGAAAAATGGGCCAAAATAATCGCGCGACATTTTTTTTTCTTTCTAAAGTCCCATTGGAGCCTAGTGGCCCTTTTAAAATCGTTTTAAGACATTTTTCATTGGTGGGGCTACGAATGACGTCATTTATTATTATTATTATTATTATAACTTTTTTATAATTTTTTAAACTAGAAATTTTACAGTTTTAAATTAATTGTTATAACAGTGGAAAGTGAAGCTATAATTATAATGAAAAAATTAAATTCAATTCATTTTTTATTTTATATTAAATAATAACCAATTTTTTTAATTAAACATTATATTTTAACATACGAATTAATTATATTTTTAAAAATAATANCACGTCCCCAGAGGTGCCATCGCATCCTGCAAAAGCACGAGCATCTATACAACTTCCATCGAAATTACGTCACTCGCGACTCTTAACACATGTACACAATTCTTTGTACTATTTTTAAAAATAATAATAATAATAATAATTGTAGGAATTAATTACCAGACGTAATTACTTCTAAATTAACAGTTAAACATGTCATTAATTTTATATCCGCATTCAGAAAATTTCTTATTGATAATTTTCTTTCATTTATTTATTTTATTTATCAATAAACATTATCAAAAATCTCTTATTAACACTCTTAAAACATTGCAAACTTCACATAAATTATTCCTTATTTCCTATTATAGTTTACATCTGATAAGGACAAATTTGTAATTTATATAATTATTTTTAGTAGTATAACAGGCAAAAAATATATATATATATAATACAACACGGTTAATCGAATTTTGGCCCATCCTGTACTGTTTTTCATACGTGAAATAGAACAGGGTGGCCCAAAATTCCGTTAACCGTGTTGTATTTTTGTATCGATTTTAATGGTAAAACGAGTAAAAATTATTACGGAATTTTTACGAAAAGTTCTATCATTACGGCATATTTTTACGATTATCTTTATTATAATAAATAATAAAACGAATACAGTCGTTTACAATGATTTAATCTTTACAACGGTTAACTGACTTTTGGACCACCCTATATAATTTACTTTTTTTTTAATATTTAAAACTTTTAATAGCGTAAAAAGCATTTAAGAAAAAGAGATGTTTAAGGAAAATGCGAAGAGATTCTCTCACTCGGCCCCTTTATAATAATACATTTTATTTTAGTGGGAAGCAATGAAATTTAATTGCCCTCATACCGGTCGCATGTACTACAGTACGGACATATAAAAGATGCTTGGTACAATATTGTTTATTGGACGTTTAAGTTATTTTTCGAATTTAAAGCGGGATAAGGGAAACGAATGACATCTTGTGTGGCCCTTTCCCTCATTCCCCGGTAGTTGCTTTTGTTAGAGGGTTTGAGGGTTCCCCTCTCCGCGACATCCACGCCTAGTTGTTGTTTATAGAGTCTCGGGACGGGAGAAACACGATATTTGTCTTTAATAACACGCAGCTGTTCTCCTAATTATATAGGGCCTATAGGTAACAATCGTGTGACTACTCCCAAATAGTGAAGCGTAATTAAAGCCCTCTATTTGGCCTTCCATGTAGCATTTTGACAATTGAAACAGACAACCGACTGTTACTTCTCTTCACATTTAAATATATTGTCTACATTCTCTAAATGGTATTTAAAGGAAAAAAAAAATTAAGGGGTTTCCAAACTGATGAAGACTCTTCGAGTAACGAATTCCCAAATCATTTAATTATTTCTTATGCTTTTTTTTTTGTCGAGAACTTTAGAAAATATCACTTTTAAACACGCTTCTATCGTTTTATCTTTAAGATGAACATTTACAAGTAAATTTTATATTAAAAAATTCTTAAAATATTTACAAAACTTGATATTTTAATATTAATTTAACAGTAGAAAGTTGATCTCTTTAATAACGTTTCCTATATAAACACTCAGCAATAGTTTTATGTTAAGTAATTCTTAATTGTGATAGAATATGGCAAATTGCTTATAGCATACTCTGTTATCGGGCCGTTTGGTCAGGGCCCAGAACACAGGAGGCCCCAAAATTTAGTGCTTTACGTAGGAAAGTGGACAAAGTAAAGTTTCTTTTGATAAAATATTGAGTTTTATCCATACATTTTAATGGTTTTTTAGAGGGATGAAACATGAAATTTCTAACTGGAAAGGGGCCCTATACTTCTAATTCTTGTTTAGTAATATTAATTTATTTAGAGTACTAAATTCGACATTATGTACACTATAATTAAATTGAGTTTTAATAATCTTAATTGTTTTAATTAATAATCTTTATGTTTAGAACGTTTTTGCTAATGTTTTCTATATAATAATGTTTTATATTTTGCGAAATAATTAATATTCGATATGAAAATATAATACTAAAATTTTATATACTGAAATAATCTGAAAGGGAGGAACATTTTACTGTTCATCATCATAAAAATTGTAAGATGTCGATCAAAAAGTGTTTCATCTTTCAGATTTCAAAGCCTTTTTTAAAGAGAAGGAAACATTTTAAAGAAGGAAACGTCAGAAAAATGTATTAGTTAACGGATAAAGCTATGAATTCGTATCATTAAAATCTCCGTATAAAAGTTTATTATGTGAATTATTTGAAGTTTTTATTCTATAAATAATTATCTTTTTAAAACTCTCTTCTTACTCTTTTTTTAAATAGTTTTATTTTATTTTAATTTATATAAAATTTATACAGTTTTTAAGTGTTTTTAATGTTTGATGCTTAAACTTTACTGATTAGGAAAACACCTGAAACTTTAGGAAAACTTATCAAAATAACTACCCACTAATTATAGCCTAATTGAAAGTTTTGATGTTATTAATTGGGATTTTTATATGAAAAAAAGACAAATAATATATTTGCGAACCAAGTTATCGTGGAGGGCTACGTGGGTGGGCTTCATTCGTCAACTAGCCATCAGCACCCTGCAGCTAACTGTAGAGAGGGATTGGACAATTGAGGGCTAATTGTTAACCTTTATCTGACCTTGTTCCTGACTTTTTTAACTGACATAAACCAGAGTTAGCATGGAAATTATAACGCGCATCCCGAGACCTGTACCTTTTTTTTCCCCGAATCTTATCCCCATGTTTATGATTGTATATAAGATTGGAGTATTAATAAAGTAAGAATCTTCGTTTGGATCTTCTATTGTAGACCTTACGTAATGTTAGAATGTAGAAAAACGTGGCTATATCACTTAGTGATATAGTCACGTTATTAGACTCTCAATAGCTTGTAACTATTGAGAGTCTGATAACACGTTAGACCATTGTAAGCGTGAGAAACCAACTAGATCTACCCCTTTAGATTGAGAATCGAACCCTCTTTCTCGTGTTTTTTTTTTCTGTAATCTTTTAATGAAGAATTGTTATTGTTAAAGTGTTAAAATTTGACTTGTATTTAAATAAGAAGAGTAGAAGGCCTTTTCATATGATGCTTTGTTTTTCTGTCAGGCAAAAACTTGAGCACATTGGCAACAAACACTTTGGGAGGAGTACAAACCTGCTATAAAGAAAGAATCATTAGAGTTATGAGGCTACAAAATTTAATTTTAATCTTCTATTTGATAGGGAGTGGCACCGCTCCACTCCTTTGATTCTTGTGATGTCCAGGGGGCATAAAGGAGATAAGACCGGCGGCACAAGAAACATTTTAATGAGAAAGGCCCAAAGTATGTGTTTACACCTGGCCCACAGACAGATGGGGAGGGAGATGAAATCAAATCCTTTGTCAGAGGACACGCAAGGGCTCCTTTTCACAATCCGTCACTAATTCGATTGGAAATGGTCCCCGAGGGCACCCTCGTCTTATTTTTGTCACGGTCCTGCCTTTTCCTCTTCTTTCAACCGGTTTAAATTTTAAATTTTTAAATAATTATCGCATAACTTTTTTCTAGTCTTTTCATCTCATGTAGATATGCCTTTTTTCCCTTCTATTATCAACTAAAGGTTCTAAATCTCAGAGCGGAGTAACATAATTTATTTCTCTATAAATCTAGATCTCAATTGGCTATTGCTGAAATAAATAAATCGGGTTAAGAATTAATATAAAAAATAAATATTGAACTTTAAGTGACCGAATTCTCTCGAAGATTACTTTAAAAATTTAATAATTACACGCACTTAAAAAGAAAAAAAAACGTTTCCCCTGTTCTTTAAGACTTTCTTCAATCTAGAATAAATAATTTATCAATTAAATTATAAATTTAAACCCTGGAAATGATTTAAAACCTTGTAAAAAGGGATGAATATGATCAGTCATGCGAATGATAGAGAAAAAACGATGACGGTGCCTTGAACTTATAGAGTTGTTATTGAAGGATTGTATACATTATATTAGTTGTAGAGCAGATAAGGTAAGTTGTTGATGAAGAAAGTCAGACAATGCTTAACTTTACTGCTTACCTTCTCCATTTACTTGGGTGGTCGACCTAACAAGCAGAGGCGGCTTCTTTGATCTCCGGTATGTTCTAATGGAGATATTAGCCAGGGATAGGCCTTCCACGTGATCTCCAGGTGTCGGTAGCTACAGGACATTTTCTCCTCCACTTGTACAAAATTGCTGCCATTTGTGCTTGAATTGCTCTCTTTCGATAATTATACAATCGATTCAGATATAGTTTTCCAACTTGTATATATGTAAAACATTCATAATCTAAATACTGTATTGTAAGAATGGAACTGGACAGTGATTGAGGTATATTTAGCGTAATAATTGCCCTCCAATCAATTGATATCTGGCAAGATTTTTACGTAGTAAAATATTGTTAAAAATTATATAAGTAAATGAAGAGAAAAGATTTATGAAAGGAATTTTAGAATGTGCTCAAACATAAATAAATTGTGAGAAGTGTTTGATAAATAGTCGTTAATTACATAAAGTCTAGGTCTAAGTGCAATCTTTGCAAACTGTAGTTGCATCAGAGATATTCATCGTATAAATCGGTTGCTTCTTTCAGCAGTCATCTTTCCTACAGAAGAGGCAAGACCAATCTAGAAATGCAATAAA